CACCAGCGCGTGATGACCTGGTTCGACATGAGCTGCAGGGGATCGGCGAAGGAGCGGGCGAGACCGAAATCGGCGAGCTTGATGTCGCCGTCGGCGGCGATGAGCAGGTTGTTGGGCTTGATGTCGCGGTGCAGGACAAAGTTCTCGTGGCAGAACCAGACGGCGCGGCAGAGCATGCCCATCCAGGCCTTGATGTCGGCGGCGCCGTAGCGCACATTGTCCGTGTCCTTGATGAGCATCTCGAGGTCGCCGAGGGGCAGGTACTCGAGCACGAGGTTGAGGTTCTGGTCCTTGGAGGAAAAGACGGAGAGCAGAGAGATGATGTTGGGGTGCTGGAGCTCCTGGAGATGCTTGAGCTCGCGGACGGCGTCGGGGGCCATGCCCTCGCGGTATTCCTTCTGGATCTTGATCTTCTTGATGGCCACGAGGGAGGCGGGGTCGGATCGCAGGCGGCCGAGGAAGACGATGGCATAGGTACCCTCGCCGAGCTTCTTGCCCTTGATGTATTTTCTCTTCTCCTCCTCGTTCATCTGCTCGGCGAGATCGAGGGTAGGGGGCAGCGAGATGGGCTTGGCGGGCTTGGCGGGCTTGTTGTCGTCGCTGCCCGTGGGCTGAGGCGTGGCGCTCGCCGAGGCCTGGTTGGACGAGGCATTCTTGCGCGGTGAGGAGACGGCCGACGTGGTTTTCGGAGGCTCTGTGGGCCGCAGCACGAGAGGTGAGGCCGACATGGCGGTGGTCCCTCGTCCCTGCCGTCGTGGTGGCTGCTGCTGGGCTGGTTGATATCGTGAGAGAGGGGGTGAAGGCGGCTGCTGGTAGGAGCTTCAGCACTGGTGTCAAAGACGAGGCGGCGGAAAGGCTGAGGGTTGAGCTCAGCCTTGCGCTCACAACGATGATGATTGGCTCATGATCCATACCTCTGGACCCAACCATAGAGCACAGGGCCTCCGATTAGTCATGCCACTTTCGATACTCGTACTTGGCGGAACATGGGCCAGCTCACAGAGTGTGGCTCAGCAGCCCAACACCTGCTAGCGTGCCGCTTCTGTCGCGGGCTCTCCTTTGGTGAAGCAATAAGGTTTCATGACGCAATGTTGCCGTGACCACGGAGCAAAGGAATTCATTCTTCAGACGGACGGTCTTCAGACGAACGGACGGATGGATGCAGGAGGCGGCATCGAGCGTTGATGTCACCCGTCGGCGCCGGTCATTCTCAGGGTCTGCTTGCAAGACAACTGATTCCACAACCGAGCTGCCATCATGAATAACCTCAAGACGCAAGAAACAAACACATGATGGTCGGGTATCAGGAGATCGATCAGCAAATGTCTCTTTCGGGCATCACAGTGGCCCGACTCGGAGGAACCGCGGGGTTAACACCCTCAAATTGGCTGTGTAAGCAGCCGCCGCTGCAGGGCTTCACAGCAGGCAGACAGTGGACGTGCAGTGGACGTGCAGTGGACGTGCAGTGGGGGGCCCCCTGTAACCACCCACGCTGCTCCTCCAGCCGGGGCCGGGGCCTACGTCATGGCTGGCATCAGTCTCCGGGCTGAGCGAAGCCGAGTCATCGAAGATTTCCTGTCTGGTTCCCGCCTGGCGCCCCATCCAAGTCGTTCCTGTGTGACTGAGCACTGCCGCGAACGAGATCTGCCGATCGGGCCCTGCGGACATGCGACGGGTCCAACAACCTCCCCGGCCGGACTTTACATCCTTGCAGCCAACAAGGGTAGCAAGTCTTCTTCTTTTAACTTAGCCAACAGCCCGCCCTTTGTGAACAGAATCTGGATCCTTGAATGCTGTTTCGACCCATATTCTCTCTTCTCCTCAACCACGAGACCTCTGCCAAGGGCGGGATTCTACTGCGTCCCCCTGACACCCATACAAACATTCATCCATCAGTTTCCTCAACCGCAACGATCAAGAACAACGAGTGATCCACATCCTCCATCACCATGAGGATCTTTTCTTTCTGGGTAAGCCTTCATGACAGAGACCGACACGAGACCGTCAAAAAGGCAACCATAACTCACCAGGTCCAGGTTCTGCCCGTCATCTCGGGCGTCGTCTGGCTCGGCATGCTCCTCTCGATGCTCCTCTACTGGATCATCCACACCGACCGCCAGCGCTACAGCTCCATGGCCGACCGCCAATCCATCGCCTACATCAGCGACGTCGGCGCCTCGACGCTCAAGCCCCTCTTCATCGCCGGCTGCGCCGTGACCGTCGTCTTCCTCGACCTCTCCTTCCTCGCCGACCTCTGGCTGCGCCACCGCGGCCGTCTCGTGCCCAACATGAGCACGGGCGAAAAGGTGCTCAAGGCGCTGACCATCGTCTTCGCCCTCGTCGGCACCGTCGGCCTCATCTGCCTCGCCGTCTTCGACACGGCCCGCCACCCAAGCCTGCACCGCGTCTTCCTCGGCCTCTTCATCGTCGGCTACCTGCTCTCCGCCGTCTTCATCTGCTGGGAGTACCAGCGCCTCGGCATCAAGTACCGCGAGCACCGCGTCCTGCGCGTCTCCTTCTGGGTCAAGCTCGCCTTCATCCTCGTCGAGGCCGCCATCGCCATCGCCTTTGCCGTCACCATGCGCTCCGGCAACCCCGACGTCGCCGCCGTCCTCGAGTGGGTCGTCGCCTTCGTCTTCAGCTTCTACGTCTTCTCCTTCGCCATTGACCTCTGGCCCGCCGTCCGCACCAAGCACCACGCCCGCCGCTTCCAGAAGCCCGCCGGCTCCGGCAGCGGCAGCACGAGCCCCCGCGCCGCCGCCGACGACGACAGCAACCTCGAGATGGCTGGCGCGCCCGTCGCCGACGCGCAGCAGTACCCTCGGTACATGGCGCAGGGGCCGAGCAGCAACTTTTAAAAAGGAACGTGACGATCTGATGAGCCGCGATGGAAGAGGGTAGTGTTTTTTTTTTTTTGTCTTGCATTGACGAATTTACAAGCGCGGCGTGATGGGGCGTTCTGGCTTGTTGATACCGGACCTCTGGGTTTCCAGACTTCTGGGAACATATGATACCTCCATACAAAATACAAAATATCCCTTATTAGACAATTGATAATGGCCATTACTTTCATAAAAATATTGCCGCTCGAATCATCCCGTCGTGACGTCCACGTCTCGCTCCGCGTTCCTACGCAATACACACTGCTCGTGCCGCCCCTGCCGGCGATGATGTCAAGGGACCGTGCAATCACGGCCTTCATCTTCCCTCGACATCATCTCACTGACAATTCCAAGTTTAACGCAGCCGGCCTAGCCGTAGCGCTAGCCATACGCTAGCGTCCCTAGCATGGAAGCCTCGACAAGCTCCGGGCGGCAGACACCACACTGCCGATCGATCGCGATCAGATGAAATACTTGCAATTGATGCACATCGTACAGACAGCGTGTTCAAACTACCCTCCTACAGGTCTACCCAAGACAAACATCGTCATTCCATTGCTTTGCCGGCCAGTCTCCCGAAAACACCGCAAACACCCGCAAAAACACCAATTCATAGCATCGTTCAATCACAGGACCTCCCGAAATCGCGAGTCCCGTGTCGGACTCCCGTTCGCCTCCTCATTAGGGTCCCGAATCTTTGTCGGCGGCGTAATGGTCCGCTCAAGATCATCGCGCGCGTCCTTAAATCCTTCGTCGTCGGAGCTCACAACGCTGATAGGCTCCGAATCTCGTGTTGTTGCTGTCTCGGATCGCCCACGTCCCTTACCCGCCAGTGCGACGTCGCGCATGCTGTTGGCGCGGTTGTCGAGGCTGGTCGTGCTGTCGTTGAGACCCCTGTGGAGGGCCGCGCCACCGACAAAACCCTTGGGCTGGCCCTCGGCATCAGCCGATGACTTGCCGCGGGGTCGCGTGAACCGTGACTTGAGCCACGACTTGACCTTGTGCGTCGGGGACCCTGCTTCCTTGGGGCTGCGCGCCTCGTTGGAGTGATTCGCAGTGTCTGTATCGACCATAGGCTGCGGGTGCACCTCCGCCATGTCCTCATTCTCGTCGCTGTCCGTGTCGTTGGTGGCATCGTGGGCATCGTGGGCAGCGCTGGGGTTCTCAGCTTGCTTCTGTGTGAGCTTGGACTTGCGCTTTTCTTCCTTGGCTTGACGTTTTTCCTCGGCCTTGATGGCATGCTCGGCGTCCTTCTGCGCTTTTTGCTCGGCCTTTTCGTGCTGGCGACGCTCCTTCTCCTCGCGCTTCTCATCATCTTGGTGGCCGTTAGTATGGGTCACATGGCGCGCGGATGCAATGTGTGGGATACTCACCTCTGATCTGTTTGTTGATCGCCTTGATTTCTCTGTCCCGCTCCTTCGCCTTTTCTTCGTCCTTCTTCTTGGCTTCAGCCTCCAGTCGGATCACCTCCTGTTTCTCGCGCTCGACGGCTGCCTTCTCGTTGATCTCGTCAAGCACAGGCTGGACCTTCTTCATGGCAATGGCGTCGACATCCTCGGGGCTCATGAACATGCCGCCGCCCATGTCGACTTTGCCATGGTTCTTGTTGCGCGATGTGTGCATCTGTTGAGCCGCCTCGTGCGCCTTGAGCTCCCATTCACTCAGCTTCTTCGGTGGCCGGGACTTGCCCGTATCAGCGTATACCTTGTCGTCCATACCCTGCAGCCGCGCCTTGACGTTCCTCTGTGCAGCCGCGAGGAGCATTTCCCGGTCCTTGGAACGCTTCTGCTCGTCAACTTTGGACAGGTTTGTTGAAAAGATGGACATTTGCTGCCGAATGCGCTCTGATTGCTGGCGATCATCACCATCACCGTCGCTCGACGAACGCCTTCGTAGCTTAGGCTTCAACGTGAATCGTCGCTGAAGAGTGTTGCGGCGGCCTGGAATGCTTCCGCTGTTGCCATAGTACTCTTGGTACTCTCTGCTGCGACCGTGCTCGGCTTCAAGCTTCGCAAGTCTCTCTTGCGCCATCTTGTAGGCGGCCTCCTGAAGATTCACATATGGCCTGGGTTGGTCATCGGCGCTTGCGACGTCAGACTCCGCGTCTTGGTTATTCCGAGTCTGGGTGGCCATCTTCTCCTGCTGCGTGTACATCTTCTTGGCCATGGCCACTGCTGATGCGTGAAGAAGATCGGCCCGCTTTTCATCCTCTGACTTGCTGAACGCCGGGTTGGACGTGAACATGCTGCGAGGCAGGGACGTCACGGCAGATGCGCCACCTGCGCCGACGGACGACTGAGGGCGCACTGTCGGCCCATGAGCTGCCGATGCGGCACTGAGAGCACTGGCAGCTGCCTTGGCCTCGAGCGCGTCAGTGTTGGGGGTAGAGGCTGCTCGAGGTCGCCGCCTCGCAGGCATGGCGCTCTGGGCAGCCGACAACGATCCGAGACCATTTCGCTCGTTGGTGTTGGCTTGGTCGGAGCTAGGTGTTGTGGGAGGCTTTCGCACAGATTGGCTGGTCTTGAAAGCTTGAGTGGCAGCGGAATTGCCCCAGCCGGCTTGCGAGGACGAAATGGAACTAGATGGCGTGTGTTTCTTCATGGCGGCAGCCGCCTGTGCTGCTGCGGGGTTGCTGTTAGACGATGACTTGGAAGGTGACTGAAGCGCCGTTGAGTGCCGTTGGTTAAGCGCGGCCTGAGTGGCCTGAGCGGCGGCCGAGTTGCCCCAACCTGCGGTTGACGAAGGTCGTGCTGTGCTGGATGAGTTTTGCGGCTTGCCAGCGGACTGCGTTGCGAGGAGCGCGGCTTTGGCGCCCGCAGAGCTGACGTTTGGTTCCCACTGGGGTGCCATTTTGTAGTCCTTGGCTAGAACGGCAGCGGCGGATGCGGATGACGACTTGTCAGGTCGCCACGGGTTGATGGGCTTCTGGTTCGCCCAGCCTAATGACGCTGCGGCACCTGCTGCAGCGCCGTCTTGTCGCAAGCCGTGTGAGGGAAAGCTGGGGAGATCTTGCGGTTTGGCGTACTTGATGGTTCCAGCAAGAGCGGCTATGGAAGCTGGTCGTCAGTTGAGCTCACTGTGAAATCAGGCATCTGTAGGGTAGGGGTGTAGACGGGATCTTTGCATTTGCAGGGTTCGTCAAGGGTTTATCTGCTCGACCGATTGATTGATCGATGAACGGAGCCGTCGGCCCATGACTCCCCTCCCACCTCCCGGCTCGCGACTGCCGTTCCCAAGCATAGGCACCAAGACTCGTACAAACGTAAATTACGTACCTGGGGTCACAACTTGGTACTGTGTCTCAGCCATGCTGGCATCCTGTACAGTGGACCGCGACATGTTGGGGTGTTGAAAGTGGGCGAAGTGCATACACCCAGAACTCAACAAGCTCACTCTCGGATAGTCAATCAGGTAGACAAGACAGTCAACGAATGCGTGTCGTAATATGAGGACGCGGCGGTCTGCAGTCGGGTAGTCAGATGACCGGGGCAGATGAGCTGCGTGCGAAGACACTTGCGTAGGGCGTTCGTATTTCGACAAGGTAGCGAGTAACCGAGGAACCAAGGTGGGCGTGCAAACAAGCTGGTGGGATTAGGTATTATGGGGTGCAGCCTCGGGACCTTGCTATGGCCTAGGAGGAAAATGAGGAAAGGGCCAAGTTATATCATCGACAGCCGGTTCGAGGGGCATGACGAGACTAGATCGGTTGCGTTCAGTGGTAGCGCACTCACTGGTGCGGCGAGCAGCAGACAGTGGTGATGGCATGGCTCGACTGAGTGTCACGGCGCATTGCTAGCCCAACAAGCCAGGGCAATCGGGGCCTGGTTGCTCTGGCCTGTTGCTCCTCGTTTTGTCTGGGACGCTCTTGCAAGACATGGCCATGACGTCACTTTGCGACGCCCCCGCTGGAGAGAGCTGTGCCTAGCGCCATCCTAGCGGCTGTTGGCGGAGGGGTGGGGGCAGGTGTGCTGCGCATTCGGGGAGGGTTGGGGGACGGTACCTTCCACGCTGGAACCTGCGGCTTCTGGTTCCTTGGGGTGGCAGGTGCAACCATTCCCTTGCTAGGTACGCTGTGCTGTGGCACCACGAGAGCACATGGCTTCAAGGGATGTCACAGAGCAGTAGACACCCACCTGAGGCCTCCTCACCTTCCTTCAGGTGAACAAGGGCCTCGCTATTGTCGGCGTGCCACCTTGAGGTACCGAAGGTAAGGTACCTAGGTAGGTAGGTACCTTATCGTGTGATGGGTTTCGGTGCCTCCGGTTCGGTACCTAGAGCAAGCATCTGGGTGAGGCACACACAACGAAGCAACCCATGATGCGCAACATTCCTCTGTACGATGCTTTTCTCCAACAAGCATCAAGAGCCCAACCACCTCATCAAGCCGATCTACCGTCCCAAACGGCAAAGATGATTGTCCACAACCAGACGAAAAGATTGTGATCTACCTACCTTGGCAAGCTAGACACACCAGCAGCCGGGTCCAGGTCGGCTCACGTATGGTCCGTCCGCCAGCCTGGCAGGACCCTGCAAATCCCACCGGCCTCGGCGCCCCGATTGTTATTCATGACATCAGCCGCCCGGCCCACTTCAACTTACAGTTCTTCTTCGTGCTGACAGGGCTCGTGGGGACTGTGCCGCAGGGGTAAATCGGTTTGCCCGCCAACAAGCGAGTGATCGCCCGACTCCAGTGATGGGCCCGGGGACAAACACATATTCGTACAATCCATGCATCAGGTCATGACTGTAGGATAACTGCACTAGATCTACCTGTATTCAACGACCTGTTCAAGCTGCTGTCCGCCTGGCACCAAGTACTCACCTGGTCTATCTGAACATTCGCTAGGGACCGTCTTTTCCTACGTGGACGGCATCGTGACTCATTCTCAATCATGTCAGCCTCTGCTTCCGTCACTTCTATCTTGAACCTGCGCGATGTGGGTGCGACAGTCAATAACTTTCTGGGCGCGAGGTACTACTACTAGGCCCTGAAACGCATGGTGGCACAAGACTGACTGCCCAACATCAGACGACTCAGGGAGGGCCTTCTTTTTCGCTCAGCTCGACCTGGTATATACAGCCTAGAAGTGAGACTTATCCTGCATGTCCGTATATGCTGAGATCAGCTAGATGAGGCTTCCTCCGAGGACAGAGATCGTCTGAAAAATGACATTGGTATCAAGACGGTCGTCGATCTACGCACCAAGTTCGTTCCGCCCGACAAGATCAATCCCACACGTAGCTAAGCACCACCAGGACCGAGCATCTGAAGCAGATGCAAAAGCGTCAACCACTACACCAGCCTGGTCCCGTAGCCGCCATCCAGACAAATGATGATATAGCGCAGAGTGTCAAGATTCCTGGCCTGCACTACGTTAATGTCAGCTTAGCGGGGAAGGGACTGGAGCGGCATCTCGCATGGCAGCTATCGTGGTGGAATTTTTTGTGAGTGTCCCTCCACCAGAGACCAACCGAAGACATGTCTGGAACTAACCCACGGCCTCGATAACAGCCAACTCATATTCTACCACATAATCGGGCAACGCGTCAAGGTTATGGCTATCATGGGTCGTGAAGTCTTGCAGGTGCGAGGCCTTGTTGGGCTCGGGCTTGATACCCTCGACTATTGCCATGGCGAGACCGTTCAGGTCAGTTCTTGGTCACCATACATGAGACAAAACGGTTGATTGACACCCTGATAGGTCCTTCGAACGTTCCTCGACCAGCAAGCTCTTCCGTCTCTTGTCCACTGTACGCAAGGGAAGGACAGAACTGGCTTGATCATCGCACTCGTTCTCATGATCTTGGATGTTCCGATCCCGGCCATTGAGCACGATTATGCGCTGACGGACGCGGCACTCAATGCGAACCAGGACGTGCGGTTCAAGGAGATACAAGAGGTTGGCCTCTCAAAGAGCTGGGGACGTACGGACCCAAATATGATCAAGGCGATTGCGGAACATATAACAACCCACTACGGTGGACTGGACCAATATCTAGATCTTATAGGGTTTGGCCAGGACCAGAGGGACAGGCTGAGAGAGCTTCTGCTGTACTGAACACTGGAGAAGCAAGTCTGGGTACACGCACGCTTTTACGGATTTTTGTATTGGATATGAGCTCATATCTTCTTGAATTTACCCTGCATCCAGCAGCGGTACATCCTCAACTTGCGGGCGCGGTTTACGAGCATCCGCCTGTCAACACCGAGATCCTCAATCTCAAACAGCTCCTTTGTAGCAGCTTCACCCTCCTTCTCAACGACACCCTTCCAGATGGTCCTCAGCTCATCGAGCTCGAAAAAGTACACCCGTGTTCCATCACCCCGCACGTAGAAGTTTTCGTCCAGGTAACGACCCTTCTTGAACCTGACCTGGGCGAGATCACCTCTTCCATAGTCTCGGAAGCAGACCTGGCCACCAGGCTTCAACAGGCGGTGGACGTTCTCAACAGCCTTCTGCCACTGGTTGGGGTTCAGCGCGGAAAAGATGAAGACAAGGATGGCAACATCAACAGACTCCTCGCCCAGGCCCGGGGGAAGTTCGTCGCTCGTCACATCCCACACATCAGCCTGCATGTGCTTTGTACCGTACTCCTCGTGACCCCGCATGACCTCAACGGCCTTTTTGGAATAGTCGCAAGCATGGATCTTGAGAGCAGGGTTCTTATTGTTCGCCAACACGGGGAACGCCGTATTGCCGGCACCAGCACCAATTTCCAGAATCACCGCAGGGCCAGCATCCTCTTTGGTCACTTCACCAAGGATAGGAAATTCCTGCTGCAGCCACTTGCGGTTCTTGAAGAAATTGGCGGTATTGTTCTTGTAGAACAGATCCCACATACGAGCTGGGTTGGCGTTGAGCCTATCTGTTGTCTGGTTAGTTCAGGTCCAAGACAGAGCAGCTCGACGAAAAGAGTAGTCAAGAGGTTTGAAACATCAGATGGGAGCGAAAGACTATAACATATGCAGTCTCATCACAAAGATTCAGGTGAACTATGCGTAATTGGTGGGATCATCATGAAACCGGGGGTTTGTTTTGGGGTGGTGAAAGAAGAGATGGAGACTCACTCTTGTCAAAGTCAGAGACTGGAGACTGACGCTGCATCTCGTACTGCTCTTCAGCATACTCCTTGTATGCATCGTCAGTCTCGACATGGTCCCATGCATTGAACTCGTACACGTCGTCTCCCTCGTTGAAGAGACGACTGCCGAACTGAAACGGGTCGCTCCGCTTCAGGTTGTTCTCCGGGTCGTGGGATCTGTGAGCCGGCGGGGCATCCTGGCTCTTGGGCTGGGCATCTGGCTGGGCAAGCGCGAGGGCGGCCGTCTGCTCGACCAGGCCTTGCTCGTCTGCCGGGGTGCCAGATGCGGGAGTCAACGAAGACGCCATGACTGGTCGTAGCCTCAATCACCAGGATTGGTGAAAAGCGCAGCTGTTCCTGCGCAGGTGGCCCAGTCGCGATGTCTCGAGGCTGGGTGGAAGAAGTAAAAGGGTTTGGGTAGGAGTGAAATTTTTGGCCGACAATTTTGATCACCATCGAAAGTGGTCCGGGCTCCAAGGTGGGACTTGTCATCGGCGAGAGGAAAGTCCGTGGCCCGCGACCCAAGGCCAATCAATCGTGGCCCATCGAGTGGATACTATTGTGGTGGAGAATCAGGTCCAATCCAACGTGGGCCTTTCAGACCAGACTGCGAGCATCTGATTGAAGCTACTGCCACCAAACAGCTTGCCTCCTGCTAGGTACCGATCGTAACGTAAGGTGTTCCGCCATCGCATCGACCTGGACTTCACGACAACCGATCCGCAACTTCCCACGCGAATCTCAGAGGCAGAAATCCTCAAAAAATGGCGCCAGTCTTGACCAGGCCGCAAGGCCACCTCTCTCCCGCTGATGCGCTGCATCTCGCCCAGCAGGCCCCGACGATCCTCAAGAACAACCCCAGGGCTTTCGCCTCGAATCCCCTCCTCGCCCTCTTCACAGCTGCCGAGACCCCAGAGATTTGGGTCGTCTACGAGAACCTCATCCTGGCATGTTGCCGCACCGGAGACACCGACTCGGCGTATCAGTGTCTTGAGAGGCTGGTCACTCGGTTTGGCATCGACAATGAGCGCGTCAGGGCATTCCAAGGCCTCATCAAGGAGGCGGCGGCAGACAACCAGGGCGAAATTGTGCAGTTGCTGATGGAGTACGACACAATCTTGGGACCCGACAACACAAATATAGTGAGTGGGACGCTTCGATTGGTTGGGGCCAGATGCTAACATCGTAGCAGCCCGTCGCCAAGCGCAAGGTTGCGCTCCTGAGGTCTCTGGGCAGGACCTCCGAGGCCATCGATGCGCTGAATGCGCTACTCGACTACTCTCCTACCGATGCCGAGGCGTGGGCGGAGCTCTCCGATATCTACCTCTCTCAGGGGCTGTACTCACAATCCATCTTCGCCCTGGAGGAGGTGCTGCTGCTCTCCCCGAACGCTTGGAATGTAAGCTGCCTCAACTATACAGGGTATCATTCGAGTTCTGACCTTTTTCAGATGCATGCTCGTTTGGGCGAGGTGCTCTACATGGCCGCCACAGCTTCGGATGGCCCTCAGTTGAAGCGATTGACGGAGTCGCTCAAGAGATTCTCCAGGAGTATTGAGCTCTGCGATGATTACCTACGCGGCTATTATGGCCTCAAGCTGGTACGTGGTTTTGGCTTTTGATTGTAGCGCTTCTTCTGACGAGACACATAGGTTACCGACAAGCTTTTGAGAGATGATTCCAAATCAGCAAAACAGCCCGACGCGGATGACTGGTCCCCTCCCGACGAAGCTACAGTTCAAAAGTTGAGAGAGCTGGCAACAAAGAAGCTATCGGAGATTGTGCGTCGAAAGGATGCTGGTGAGAAGTCATGGCAAGGATACAGCGAATCCGAGGTCGCAGCAGCGCGGGACCTCTTGAGCAAGGAATCGGCGGATGTGGTCCGATGATGATGCCCACAGCATGGTGGAGCGTATATATCCCCGAGTGTTTGTGTGATGTGGCCGGTTAGGAGATGTACCGACACAATGCAGAAGCACTCAATATGACTGGATCTCATGTGCTTGTGCGACCTTCACACCTCAACGATGGCTGTCGCATTTGTATGGGAAGAAGAATGGCTTTTCTCGGATCAACTCGTGATGTCAGCCGGATCTTCGGAATACCTCAGGTAGTTTCCGTCTTCTGTGGATGGTCCGGAAGCCAAAGATGTGGCGCCCAACACAACTCAACCAGATACAACGGCGCATGAGATCGAGACGGTGGAGAGGTCCGGCAGCAGTGCCGGTGATAGGCAGAGGTGGTTATTGGCGTAGCTTTACGTGGCCGATGATGAGAGAGAACGCGAATTGGGCAGGAACGATTCCTTCAGGCAGGCATCAGGGCCATGAGGGCTTCCGATTGGGTTTCACCGCGAGTGATGGGGCAGGGCTTGTCAATGCCACTGTCAGACAAGTCTCCTGGTATGTCTGAGAGGTCCAATGACACCTGCGATGTATGCTGCGCAGTGTATCTATTCGCTTCTAGACTGTTCGGTCAGCGACAGGGTTGAGCGAGGCCCACCGGCAGATGCGCTGGCTGTGAGTCAAAACCGACACGAAGACGCGGCCAACTCACGATGATACGCTGTGCTGGCTCGCCAACGTTGGAAGCCTTGAGCTTCCTCGCGGCTCTGCCAGTTTTCGTTTGGGTCTGAGTGAATTATTCTGAGATGACCCGGTTGAAAGATGTCTGGAAAGCTGGCGGATCTTCGCAACCTCTCTATAAAAGCTGGACAGTCATGCCGCCAGTTGACCGTCTGGAGCATCAAGCACGACAGCACTTACACGCGTGACCCATGCTCTAGGACTAAAAGTTGCCAACCAGTTGCAGCATTCATATTTTTCGTCATCAGGAGCACGACGAGCGTACTCCATCCAAGTTGACGACTCGGATTTGGCAGGTCATCTCGTGAAACTCTCTGCCTTCCGGGACAGGCACTTGACCATCTCATCTCTTGGGCCACCTCATCCTCGACAGCTTGAGCAATCGGACGTGAATCCGAAAAAAGCATGTGGTACATATACATGAAAAGGCACAGAGGAAAATCATCGAATCACCGAATATTACCGACTTGATCTGCGACAGCTTCTCCAGCAGTGAAGGGGAGAGAGTACTTTACCACGTGCAATTGGCCACACCAGGAAACCCAGGAAACCCAGGAAACGCACACTCCCTGCCCCTCCCCCTCCACCCCTTCTCCTCGCCATCGTCTGCATCACAGGGCCCGCTCAGCAGGCAGCACAGGCGCAGCCTTTTCCCGTTCCTGACGTCGGTAGAAGAAAAGAGGATCCAGGCCTCGGAAGAGCGACAGCAAGATCAGGACCAACAGGCTGCGTAGCTGCCTTTGCAGCACGACTTTATCGGACCTGCTCACCAGAAGGCGTGGCCTCGACCCCTCCTTCCCCCAACCCATTGCTCTGACCTGACCTCACCTCACCTCACCTGGCTCCAAGGGCTCCCTCTCGCAGCTTGCTTTGCCCCTCCCCCCTCCCTCCTTGCCCCTTGCCCCTTTCGGCCTGGACAAGTGCGAGCCCCTCTCCAATCGCAGTCGCACCCGTTCACCACTAACACCACGGCAACGGTACCAACGACACAATTGTCGAGGACAGGTGCCTCGAGGGAACCTTGTTTGGCTTTACCGCTTTGGTGTGCACAGTCAACGTCTTCCGCTCATCGTTCGTCGTTCATCGCCCATCGCCCATCGCCCGTCGCCTGGCACTCCCCTCTCCCACACACCACGCGCCCACCACCACCTGAGCTGCAGGTGATCCGCCCCAAAAGCAAAGCTGTGCCGCCTCAGGTAATCCTCCCTCCCTCCCTGCGACCTGCGCAGCCCCCAAACCGCCTTGAGACATAAGACAACGACGTCCTCCCGATTTCCTCTTCGTCGTTGCGTCGAGCAAGCCAAGGCCATACGACGGACGACTTCGGCTTCGGACCGCGTCCTTTGCGGTTCGGCTCGTCTTGGATCGACACACCCACCATTCGCCTCGTGCAACGGCGGCAACCGTTTTGCGAACACAAAAGGGAACGAACGGGCGGTAGCCAAACGTTCTCCACGTCAAGGGCGAGGACAGGGCCGTCCCGCAACGCAAAACCCCCCTCTCAACAAAGAAACACGACGACCCTAGGGAAACCTAAACACCCGGCGCCGTCTACTAACTCCTTGAATCGACGCCAACAACACCTGGTACGTGCCTGCTTTAGATGTGTTTCTCCATGTTGTCTCTGCTCGTTGCAGCATCGCATTGCGACACATGCCAGGCTCCCTGTCACGGCCTGTAGCATGCGCCGATGCCCAGCATGCTGATCAGCCCTGGTGAATCTGGACCCAAGTGGGCTCTGCAAAGCCTGGACACTTGACAGCCGGCAGGGAAAAAGAGGCCAAGCCGGAGGGGCAGAGGGGCAAAGGAACGCTGCGGCAACAGGGGGGGGGGGGGGGGTCACGACGCAGCTGAGGGGTCTCATCCACAGACGCCCGTCAACCCTTCAAGCCCTTCAAGCAAATCCCCCCCCCCCTCCCCCCGTCCCGCCTTAGCATGACACCGGCCACCTGCATCACATTGCAATGGAATGCAGACTGCACTATTTGACCGCTACCTCCCAATCGATTTTGCATGCTTCTTCACAGGAACCCTCAGACTGACCAAATCGTTCCTAGCAGTCTACTTGCCCCCAGCTTGTTCTTACCTTGTTGGTCAATAGAACTGCGTCGTCTGACCAAAGCGTCTGGTTCCCCTTTCCCCCTCTTCGCCTCGCCTCATCCCACCTCGCCCCAACGTGCACGCTCACAAACAAACCTGCACATCATCACCGCCTCCTCGCCAGACTACCGAGAACCGTCATTTGGGCCGTTTTCCCGCCTTGTTACATCCAGCGCGCTGACCTTACCTTACCACCCTTCGACGACCCACAGCGTCCAACACTTGAGCTGGGCCTCCTAAGCCTCCATCCATATCCACCCTTGGTCCATCCCTCACCGCAGGTCCGATACCCAATTGCCCCAGGGCCTTTGCGCCCAACTACGCAGCCGCTCAGGACTGGCACCACAAAACAGGGAAACCCCCGTCTCCGATCTGTGCCCGCCGCAACCCGCGATCTAATTATCATCCTTCTCTCCAGCCTGCGCCCGCGCAACCCGCACAAGATTCTCATTTCCGCTGCCCCTCACTGCTCGAAGTTGCACCAATAAGCCGATACCGACTCCCACGACAAGACGAACACTCGCATCGATCCTCTGGATTACCAAAGGCTCCCAAACTTACAAAACACCCAACTTACAATACACCCTGCACGCACAGCCCTCGGACCGCATCCCTTGCGACAACGTTGCCGCCCACTCGACACACCTCTGCTCCGGCTTTCTCTTGATCGTCGTGGGTAAAAAGCATCCTACAAGAGTCCAGCCCCAATGTCGTAAGTCTCAACAGACAACGCATTCACGGCTGTTGGCACTCTTTGCTAACTATTACGAAGACGACGGCACACCACCATCGTAATCGACCAAGGACACCCTACGTCCCGATCAAATTCTTTCAGCGAGGGAGAAGACTCGTCCTCCCACCAGAGTCAAGAATACAGTTCCGGCGGTGATTGGGGTGAAGAATACTTTTTTTGAGATCGACCCTGACGAATCGGCGTCGGCTAGCGCTGGGCCTTATCACCATTCGCGCTCGAGGTCTCGTTCTCGTTCTCGCTCTCACCACGCTGCCCCGCGGCGGCACGTTTTGCCCCACCGACCCTCAGCTCCGGGCCATTACAGGCCTGCTCCTCCCGACAGTCTGGATTCCTCAGAGGACTACGGGTCGCCGTTTGGCGCCCGCGGTGGTCCCTACGGTCCCCCGGGCCCTGTCGGCGGCCATAACCCTTACTTCGGCGGTCGTGGCGGGCCATCAACAACCTGCATCGCCCGGCGGGATATCCCTCAGAGCCAGGTGGGGCGGATACATGCCGAGCCCCTATGGCGGCCCCTCACCAGAGCAGGGTTCCCTACGGCAACTATCAGCAAAACCCTTTTTCTCTCATGTCGAACGGCAGTGGCCAGAGCTATTTGAGAGGCGGGCCTAGGCACCCATATCACGAGATGATGCCTTATCAACACGGAGGTTACTATAGTGGTCACGGTGGCTACCAGCAACAGATCCCCCCTCATATGCAGCAATACATGTATTCGCCACCCCCTCCTCCAGCGACCGAGGCGCCTGCTCCCCGTCCAAAAACCCCAGCTGCGCCTGAGCCGCCCAAGCCTGACCCAGAGAAGGAGAAGATGCAGGAGCAGCTCAAGGCTTTCCAGGCACTACAGGCAAAGAAGGAGGAGGAGGAGAGGCGGCGCGAGTTTGAGGCCAAGATTCGAAGAGACACTGAAGAGCAGCTAAAGATTCGGGAAGACGCCCGCAGAAAAGCCACCGAGGAGGCAAAGAAGGAGTTCGAGCTCGCCAAGGCGGAGGCGGAGCGAGCCGCACGCGAGAAGATGGAAGCCGAGCGGAAACATGAGGCCGAACAAGCCAAACTCCACGCCGAAACCATGGCCAGAATCCAACGGGAGGCCAAGGAAAAGTACGAGGCAGAAATGAAGGCGGCTGCCGAGCAGAAGAAGCGGGAGGACGACGCGCGTGCGGCAGCCGAGGCCGCTGCGCGGGCAAAGTTTGAGGCCCAGCTCAAAGCTGAAGCAGAGGCCAAACTCGCTGCAGACAAGAAGGCCGCGGAGGACGCCGCAGCGAAGAAGAAGTGGGAGGAGGAAACCAAAGCCAAAGCCGAGGCTGAAGCGCGGGCCAAGCTCGAAGCCGAGACCAAGGCAGCAGAGAAGGCTGCGGCGGACGCTGCCGAGAAGAAGAAAGAAGAGGAGGCCATGAAGAAGAAGCTCACCGAAGAAGCCAAAGCCAAGTTCGAGGAAGACGCCAAGAAGACGAAGGACAAGGCGCCAATCAAGTTCAAGGATGCAGTGGGAAGGAAATTCAGCTTCCCGTTCCACCTTTGTGCCAAGTGGGAGGTACGTAGACTCCTAGATGGCGCACTTGGGTTGGTCGACTGACGGTACCCCTTAGGATATGCAAGACTTGATCAAGCAAGCCTTCCAGCACGTCGATGTTATCGGACAGCAGGTGCAAGACGGCCACTATGATCTGATCGGGCCCAACGGCGACATTATCTTGCCCCAGGTCTGGGACAAGGTGCTCGAGCCGGACTGGACGATCGAGATGCGCATGTGGCCCGAAAGTAAGTCGGCGCAGATGCATGCGCAGCGACACGGCATACCGCCCGGATTCGCTGGTGTGCAGATGCAGATGCGACCGGGTGGTGGCCGGGATCCTCGAGAAGAAATGCGTGCGCGCCTGGCGCACATGGCGGCACACGGACAGCGCCCAATGCAGATGCCCCCCGGCATGATGCCTGCCGGGGCCAGGCCCGGGGGTGGCGGCCACCACGTACCGCCACCTCCTCACATGCACCGTCCTAGCGAGCGGCCGGGTCGGGGGATCCCGCCAGGCGTTGACGTCGTCACTGCTGAGCCACCAAAGAGGAAGTCCAAGACCGCCGGTTCTGGATTTGCAAGCTGGGTCGCAGGAAAGCCATCGAAGAAGAAGTACGTTTTCCCGTGTCCAACTACATCGTGAGGATGAGAGAAGGAGGTACTGACAACAACCAGGTCGTCAAGGAAGTGAGATGCGGACTCGACCGGTTCTGTTTTTGGTGGCATGCCGCTGCACAAGATCAGGCCATCATCTCGTCTCGCTCGGTCGGTCAGCAGCAGTGGTCAGATTTCATTATTTTTTGTCGGGCGCGGGCGCTATTTGCCACATATGATACCTTGCTGCGTTTGCCATTCAAGACTCGTCCTGCATTTGAGCCACTCTTCGGGAACACATCATGGCGGGGGATCACTTTCTTCAGAGTCTATAGCACCTGGATGCTGAGGCATGATGTATGACGGATGGAAGGGTGTAGGGGGAGGGAAGAGGTTAGAAAAGCTGCGCCCTTTTTCCTTTCTCGCCAGATACATTCACCAGGATACGTTGGAGCTGGCTGGTTGTTTTAAGGTTGCGCAAGGATTGGAGAATTGGGGTGTACACAGGTGGGACAGGAACGGAACGGTACAAGTGTGAAGTTGTGATTTGGTGCATTGTCAAGTCTGCTGGGGTTTTTTTTTTTCAAGTCCTTTGGTCTCGATTTTTTGGTGAGGCATGGGACCTACTCGCATGGTCCTTGGTTCACATGTTTGGTTGAAGAGGATACTATACACTGGTCTATCTATGGCTGTTGCGACTTGAGTTCCGCGTGGGCCTGTTCTACTCTATCGTCTGCTGTGTTCTGCGGTATATGATTTAATCTGCCGTAATCTGATGTACTAGGTATTTTGATGCTGGGAGTTCTTTCTGCCTCTTTTGCTCGGTCGACGTTGCCCATAGCGGGAAAGAACATAGGGAGGCGCACAAATCACAGCTTCTTCGGCTGGCCGAGGATGCGCCTCGCGCGCTTCTCAAAGGCCTCGATCATGATGCCGGCGACCTTGTCCGAGACGGCGGCGCTGACGGCGGCGTAGAGGGGGTTGGCGAACTGGAAGCGGATGACGAGGTCAACCTGGGTGGCGGGGTCGTGTGCGTCCTCACGGAGGGGCCGCAGCTCCCAGCGCGTGACGAGCGAGGTGAAGACGGCGCCGCCGCTGTTGGTGCTGCTGCCGCTTCTGCTTCTAGAGGAGGAGGAGGACGAGGTGGAAGAAGCCCCCCGGGCGGGCGGCTCGAGGTCGGCGCCGCTGATGGCCTCGACGGAGCGGTCGAGGCGGCAGCGCAGGCGGCTGGTGAAGGTCTCCTCGAAGCCGCCCCAGCCGACGCGCAGGTCGGCCTCGGTCGGGGTGTGGGGGGGGCTGGGGTCGCGGGCGGTTACGCGCGACTCTGAGCAGTAGGGGACGAAGGAGGCGTAGGCGTCTATGTCGGCGACGAGGGCGTACAGGGCTTTCGGCGGGTAGGGTAGGGGGCGGGGTTGCTGTGAGGGCTTCTTCTCGTACAATTGGTGAGTCCTGTATGGATAAATTTTTTTTTTTTTTTTTTGTTCTGTTGT